CAAATGTAGTGATTTGAAACATCACAGATTTATAAGAGTTCTGTATCTCAGAGTCCAACATGGGTCTCCCTGGACTAAAGTCAAGTTGTCATCCAGCTGCAAACCTCAAGGTGTTCTGAGGAAGAATTCATTGGTCACCTTTTCCAGCTCTAGAGCTATCTCTGCATTCCTCTCTTCATCTTCACAGGCAGTACGATTGCATATCCATATCTCTTTCTGACTACAGCCAGGGAAGATTCTGTACTTTGAAGGACTTGTTTGATTAGAGAACACATTCAAAGGAAATAGTATGGAACCCAAAATAGGTTCCTAGGATGAGTGCATGGACATCTTTAGGGGGCTGACATTCTTCCTAGCACCAGTGCCTACTCTGTACCAAGCATTGCTCCTGACAAAGAGGACAAAGACAAGCTAGTGTGTTAGTCAGCTTTTTGTTGTTGTGAGCAAAAGACCTGCCAATAAAATCTTAGAGGAGGAAAAAACTTATCTTGGCTTGCAGTTTTAGAGGTTTAGTCCAATGGGGACCAGCTCCATTGCTCTAGACCCAAAGTGAGCCAGAACATCATGGTGGAAGGGCCTGGCAGAGGAAAGCTGCTCCAGTTATGGTGACCAGGAAGCAGAGAGAGAAGGTGGAAGGGGCCATAGGGAAGATGAACCTTTCCAGGGTACATCCCCCAGTGACCCACCTCCTTCACCTTCAGCTATGCCCCATTTCCCTACAAGTTACCACCCAGTCAGTCCACTTGAACTAAGATGGACTGATGGATTACTGCTCTCACAATCCAATCATTTCATGTCTGAATATTCCTGCATTAACACAGGAACTTTTGGATGACACCTCATATCCAAATCATAACAGCAAGTAAAAAAAAAATACATATGCAAGATAATAACAGTGATAAGTACTTTCAGACAATAAGTACTTTCAAGAGTGATAAGTACTTTCAGACAGAGTTCAAAATTTATTGTCACCCAACCATGCCATTCCTGCTTCATTCATTTAATAATTTTTGAGTGGCTACTGTGTAGAAGATCTTCTATGGATATCAGGGAGATTAGTGAATGGATAGAAGTTCTGTGCTAATTGGCTATTCTAGTGAAGAGAATGATTAAACATAGGTACATGCAAATGGAAAACATGATTCAGGTAGTAAAAAATGATACAAAGAAAGTATTCCATGCTCTTTCCCTTGAATATCTGCATTTCCCTTAATTCATGTTTTTGTTTAATAAATCTAGTGTTTATCTAGTGTTTACTATGGGTCAGGCACAGTGCAAAACACAAGGAATACACTGAAGAACCCAGACTTGGTTTCTATATCCTCACTCTAATGAAGAAAACAACTAAAATTAATAATAACCACAGATGGTGGGAAGCACTCTGATAGAAGACAGACAGGGTTCTGTCTTTGAGAGCACATTACAGGATTATGTATGTTGTCCTGTGTCTAGGACAGCTCCCCTGGCCCTCTTTCCCCTTACCTGGAGCTGTAGTATTTATTCTTCAAAATCAAGCTTTAGCTGCCTTCTTGAAGAAACTCAACACTGATGCACAGGAGATGCTTAACAAACATTTGGGTTTTTAAAAATTTTATTTTAATAATAGTATTGTTTTATAAATAGTATAATAGATTCTCGATTTATTCAAAATATAGATCTTTATTATAACAAGTGAGTTAACTCACATGACAGATATAATTTGGGCATAATGATTATATTTTAGTCAAAGTAAACAAATATGCAAAGCCCCTTGGTATGTATGTTAATTATTGTATATTTGTATAAACAAAGAGAAAAATGTGCAAGAATATATACCAGGTTATTAACAAGCAGCAAATGATCAACTTTATCCTTCTGCACCTTAGTGCTAATAGTTATTTATGGAATAGGTGCCTGAGAACTACTAATATGGCTAAATGAGTTGGCCTGTAAGGCAGTGAGCTTCCACTGACCCTTGAGGACTGAGTGAATACTGTCCTGCTCAAATCATATCATCTTTCTGTTTGTGTTTATTTAAGCTACATTTTGACATCTGCTTAATCAAGATGGTTTCATAAGTGAATTAAAAACCAAGAAAGCATAAATAATAAATTCCTGTCCTGTATCCAGCTCACTTAATAGATTATTATGCCATAATTTCCTCTTCTGCAAATTAGGAATAATAGACTTTCTGTAAAGATAACACAATTAGCCTGGTTAAAATGTACTTGGATTCATAAAGTACTACAGAGTTGCCAAGTACAAGTGAAAACTCTAATTTTTCTTTTGTTATATCCATGCTAGATGATTATGCTCCAGAAAAAATCTGTGCATTATAAATAACTGCTATGATCTGCCTTCAAGTTAAATCTTTCTTTATACATTCTTCTGTTGACAGGCATCTATGCTGATTTCATAATTTATATGCACAATGAAACCCATTACTCTGTATAATTGAAATGCACTAATAAAAAAAATCTGTAACTTGAAATTCTCATAACCCTGGAAATTAAGTCACCTTCTCGTCTTCCCTTTGCATCTGGATATGAAGTGGGATCTGATAGAGAAAAAAAAAAAACATCAAATTCCAGGCTTTTTCTGATATAAAATCTTTCTCATTCATTTTGAAAGTGGCCATACGGTGTCTTTGGGTCCCATATAAGCCTTGTTTAAATCATTAAGGCAGTTTAGGAGAAACTTCAGCACATTATAGTACAAGCTCACAGGTTACTATGAGTCTCCACAATTTGAACAGGTAAAGGCTGAGCTGTATCTGAGATGGCCTTAGGGGATAAGGCAAAGCAAGCCTTTACTAAAGTCATATAGATTCTGTAGGAGGTTTTGGACATGAACCCCACACTTACCCTACTTTGCCATTTCTTGCTAAGGGTGGAGTATAAATGTAACCTCACTCCTGTGATATCATCGTGGCTTTGTTTCTCCTGTCTCTAATTCCAACTCTCTTACATTTACTGATATTCAGCTTTTGTCCATCAACCATTGCTCTCAACAATAAATCAAGAAGAAAGGAAAAGTAAGAAATACTTAGGTGCTTAAGTACCTAAATATCTTCCCCTTAATTTCCATTTATATCTCTTCTTTCTCGACAGTGCCATCCCAATAATCAAGCTGTATACTCTTCATAACAAGCTTTACCTTGATTCTGTTTTCCCATTTTTAAGATGAAGAAGGTAACAATGGTAACTAAATTACAGGGATTTTTAAAAAAGAATTTAATAAGATAATGTAATATGTTTAGAATTTTTCCCTACATAGTGATCACTCATTAAATGATGACTATAACTAATATTAGTAGTATTAATATTATTCTACTGTACCATATTTGTTTTGTCTTAGTAAGGATAGGCTCTCTTTAAAGTTCTGACAGATGTGAAGAAAGGCTGAGGTAAGGAACTATCAATCAGTCCTCTAACTGTATTAAAGGAAATCTTACAAGCAGTCCAAATTCCACTCTCCCTTCATACAGAGGAGGTATCCAAGGAATAACTGCATTTGCTGCATCACTGGAAAACTGATGTGGCACAATACCCCTACCTTGGTTGTCATGAAGGGCAGAGCTCTTGAATACATTTAGAATGACAAAACCATTTTTTTCTCTTTCTCATTTCTTCCTATTTCCCTGTCCTATGTGCTGATCCTTGTAACTGAAATTATTAAGCTCTACTGAGCACTGGCTTTGAATATACAGAACTAATTTTGAAGGTCACAGGCCAACATGGGGACTATTTAGTTTTTTAGGTTTTTTTTCCCTTTAAAATACTGGGAACCAGGATAGATTGCAAAGGGTTAGGACTTGGCTAGAGACAAAAACTGTATCATTTGTACTCTTTAAATATTCATACTGCCTCTTCTGGCAGCTAACAGGGCTGCACACTTTGCCTAGAGAGGGGAAAAACACAAAAAAAGATAATTACAAAAGTTCATAGTGTTCTAAAATGGTTGCTGTGAACTAAAAACTTAAACATTTGGTTTACTCCCCTAGGCAAATGCATTTTTTATTCAACTCATGGCAATAGTCATGTGATTATATACATTTTTAGGTATCTTTCTGGGCATGTTATCATTACTGCATACTTACTGACATTAAAACCATAAAATTTGATTGTGCTGGTAAAGCCATCTCTTTTGTAATTACTTTCCTATTGACTATAATAATAATTGACACTTTTAGTCGTCACATTTGCTTATGAAGTCATACATGATTTAAATATGAGCAGGTGAACTCTAGAGCAAGTCAGATTAGGAATAGGAACAAATGATTCTTGAGTATGGTAGCACATAATTTTTCATTCAGTACAATCAAGTAACACTACATAGTCTTCATTAATGTGTGTGAACATGCCAAAAATGTAAGTATCTATTTATTAGCTGATACATTTCCATCATATTTTTTTGTTATTGTCATCCTAAATTTTGGCTGATAAATTTACAGAAAGTAATTTCACCATTTCAGATAAAAACATAAAAATAGACCTTGGCACTGTATTGACTCTTAAATTCCTTCTTCAAAGTAACATCTGTTTGTTGGAAATTGCTCCATTTTATTTTTTTAAGCAATATTCACAGTTCTGATTTTATCCAGCATTCGTCCTTTCATTATGACATATAACAGTGAAAACATTATAGACATTATCAGTTTTCCCCTTCTAAAAATATTGTTAAGATCACGCTAAAATGTAAATTCAGATAATACAAGAAAAGGTATGTTAACAAATTTTTTCTTTTCAAAAAGGCTACCTAGAATATCTGTGCTCATTGTTCCTAGGTGATAATAATTGGCCAATAGTAAGAAATGGTCACGGCAAGTAAGTAAAATTAAATAATATCTAATCTTAAATTGTGATTTAATGAAACTTCAGTCAAAAATTCTTAAACTACATTAATTGAGCCATATAGTTGTATATATGTCTGTAATATTTATGTGTACATACATGTAATATGCTATACATATAAAAAAAGAAAATACCATCAAGAAAGGTCATGTTTTTTTACTCTTTCAGATGTACATTACCAATACAATCAAAGCCAAAGGAACCAGACTTGCCAAGCCAGTTCTATGCTTGGGATTAATGTGTTTGGCTTTTCTTACTGGACTCAACAGAGTAGCAGAATATCGAAATCATTGGTCAGATGTGATAGCAGGCTTTCTGGTTGGAATATCTATAGCAGTATTTCTGGTAAGTCAAATTTATGTAGATACTATTGGATTTTTAATTAACATGAAAAATTGCCTATAAGAAAATATAAGAGGGAATTACTGAGTTTGTCTAAATGTGGCATATCACATGATCATACTTAATATTTTAAGTCATTCATTTCTTTCACCTCTCACATATGTGCTGCTTAATGTCAGGTTGGGGGAATGAAAAAAAAATAATTCTACACTTAAAGATGAATAAAATATTTTCAGATAAAATGGATCAGGGCTAAAACCAGTCCTCCCTGGATAGCTATAAAACTGGACCGTATGGATATTTAAACAATTTCCTTGGGGCAGTTTATGTCTGGAGTATATAATATTTATATCTGTACAGTGCCAGAATAGTCTGGTGCCTTGCCCCATGCTCTCCAGGAACCAGCAAGTCACAGGTGCTCTGACAGTGCCCGCTTGTGAGAAGGGTCATTTCATTTCCATAACTAAAAATTCATGGAGAGCTTCCAAGGATATGCCACCTCAAGTAATATTTCACCATATAGGGCAGAGAATTCTAATGAAGTGAGCCTGCCATCCATATTCCTATTTTAAAGTAACCTTGGAATATTTCTACAAGTTCTGGTGGTTGAAAAAATGTATTTGAGTTCAATATTAGAGTGTATCAATCCATTATAATTGTAGGTATATAACTTTCACCTGGATGACAAATTGTAGAGACTATAAATCAAAGCATATTTTTTGCATGGACACATTATAATTTATAAGAAATACTTTATTTCCATTTTGATTGCATTTGAATTGCTTCTCACTCTAACCTGTCCTTCCTCAATCTCCTTCCACTATTCAATAACCAGTTAGTAACCAAAATATGTATTTGAATCTTTTTAGTGAGCAAAGTTTAAGCACAACTTATGCACCTGCATATTTAGTAGGTTATTTCTTCTGGAATCTCTTGTGGTAAAATAGTAACCATGACCTCATCTCTATTCTACATCCTGTGCCTATGTAGAATTATTTTTGTTGTTGTTGTTGTTGTTGTTGTTTTGTTTTTCTATTTTTTGGTGATATCACTCACTCTGAATCTCAATGTCTGGGAGTCTTAGGACCACCCTCTGTTAAGAAAAAAAAAATTCTGCGTTAAAATTAACCAAGCTTATTTGAGGAAAAAAAAAGTTCTAAAACTGGATAGCATCCCAGACCAAAGTTGGTTCAGAATGCCCCAACATACCATGGGTACAGGTTATATTTATACCCAGGGAACAGAAAGTGAACAGTGCCTTGGTCATGTTTTGGCAGTGTTCAGCCTCTGATTGGCTGAAGGTTCAGCTGCTGTGAATGGCTAGATTCCATTCCTTGGTACAGTCCTATAGATTATATTGCAATTTATTTATATATCAAGCTAGGTTACAGTTCACTATATCCAGAGGCCACTTTGGATCAAATTTTATCCAAGTACAGAAATAGCCTTAAGCTGAACTTATCAATTTAACACCTTTCACTTGCTCTTAGAGACATCTGTGGCCTCCTGAAAAAGAGCCCACACTTGAGCCAAAACCTTTTCCTTGCTTTCATTCTCCTCATTTTTAAACTGGCTAACATTTTAAAGAAACAAACCAAACAAAACCACCTTAAGCAAATCTTAAAGTATTCCCAGGCAAGGCAAAGAACACACCAACAGTCAAAATTTCAGAGCACAGGTACCAGATGTGACTGCTGTGCTTCAGCTTCCCAGGCCAGAACATCTTCTCCAGCATCTCATCAGCCTTCCTATTGACCTTACTGTGGCTGCTGCCATCTTCCCTCCCTGTAGTCTCTAGAAAACTTTCTAACACCTTGCAAAGTCAAAACTATAACCCTAGCACCTTCCTAGCAACCTACCAGGTGGAGAACCCTGTGGTGAGGGTTGAGCTCTATAGTGGATCCTCCTTGTGTTCAAGACCTTTGCATTGTACAGACTCAGAACATTCCAAGATGGCTCATGGAACATTCCCCCATGCCTAGGAAAAGGACTTCATGAAAAAGTCATGCAAAATCAATGCTTTCATCATATAATAACTACACATGCATTTATGTGTTTATTCACAGTAGTTTGTGAGTGTGAGTGCCTACAGGTAACAACCACTGTGCCAAGAACTGGAGATACAAGGAAGTTCAAATAAACATGGCCTATCTCCAGTGGGAGTTACAGTCTGGTTTAGGAGAAAGACAATAAAAGTTCTATTATTCCCTTAAACATCTTCTCCCTTTCTTCCATCATAAAATAAACATTTACTGAGTCTCTGTTATAATCCAGGCATTGTTCTTGGTGCAGGAAACAAATATCCAAAAAAATAAATCATCCATGTACTTACATAGATAACAAGTTAAAAAGAGAAAAACAGGCGAAGAGTTTTGCAGAGGGTCAAAGGTAACGATACAAGTACCAGTACTCAGGAGATAAAGTTTGGGATGAAACATAAATCCAAAAAGGGAAGGTGGTATTTCAACTTGAAAAGTTTTGGAATGAGGGTGAAAGAGCACAGTGCACAAAGGCAACATGAAATGCTTCAAAACATTGGCTGCATGGAGCCCAACTGTGCCCTAGACACAGGGTGCAGCTTGTTCATGAAAGAGCATGACCTCCTAAAATGGTACTGGTCCTCCAGCACATGTAATAAGAGGTGGGGTGGAACAGGACACAGACAGTGTATCCTGAATGGCCTTGTATGTTATAAGAATAATCTGGGCTTTTGCTTAAAAATGTGAGCGATCTATTGTCAGACTTTAACTGAGTTAAAACAAAAACACAGCATTATTGAAGCCCAGTTTCTTCATGAGTTCAATTTGTATCCTTCAGTAATTTTATTATTTCTGAGCCTTAGTGTCTCCTTTAAATGAGGTGAATTTGAGCCTCCCTAAAGATCAGTCTTTAGATTTACAAAGATTAAATGAGATAGAATATGTTCAGTGAATGGCTACGTGAATGAATGACATAAGTTCCATACATGATAGTTTGTCCTCTCACATTCCCTTTCACCTTGTGATAAAATTTGTGCTTTGAAAATGTATTTACTGAAAAAGAAAACTCTAGGTGAGGATAGAGAAGAAAGTTTATGCAGACCTAGGAAAATAACATAGCAAAAGTCAGACCTCAATGGCACAGAGAGAGGAGAGCATCTCCAGGGGGGATTGGGGAGGTGGGATGTTTTGGAGCCTGAGGGAACACTGGAGTTGATATGGCCAAGGCACAGGGAGCAATCTGTGATGATTCCTGAGTTTCTCATTCGGGCAACTCAGTAGAACATTTATTTTGAGCAATGACTCCAGCTCTGGTTTGTAATATCCTGGGGAGCTTCCAGTTATCTTGCAGTGTGTGCAGGATTATAAAATGATTCCAAAACAAAATTAACATTAACCCGCTCCAAGCCTCTGTCTCTTGGTTAGAAGAGCCCCCGCCCCCACCAATCACCCAGACTCTTTGTCTAGCATTTGCCTTTGACTCATTCTCCTGGTTCTTCTCCCACAACCAATGATTCATCTAGTTCAAGTTCCTTTCCACTACAAACAGTATTTCTTCCATATCTTATATTTTTGCCCTTTTAACCAGAACCTCTCAATCTAGAGATTATTGCTTCTCACCTCGGTTTTATCAGTAGATTCCTAGCTGCCTCCTCCCTTCAGGCTTTCTGCCAGTACCACCCCCATTCTACTTCTGTAGACTTATAACAACTCACTGCCAATAACAAGACAAAAACAAAATCTCTTTCCTGCAGCATCAAATCCACACTTCTATCACCTGCTCTCTTCCTAGAGAAATTTATTATCCTCTATTTACTGAGTACAGAAAGCCTACACCTTGAATCCAATCAGCTTCCTGCCTTCTCAGAAGCAAGCTTTGACCATCCTACATATATGCCTTTGTGAGCAAAGCAAGGAGTTGTAAGTCAGAAAAACCTACATCTGAGTCCAGCCTTTGCCACTTGTTGTATGACCTTGTGCAAGTCATTGAGCCCCTGGTGACCCCTAAAACAGCAAGGTCTTCCCTGAACCATGTTTAAAACATGAATCTTCCCTTATTTTTGATAAAATAGTATTAATCAATTGACAATTATTTTTCAACTAGCATTTTTTTTGTATGTTGCTAGACATAGGGATTCTACTCATTACCCTTGAAAAAAATGTTGTGTTTTTTTTTTCCCTACAGCACTCCAATTCTTATGTCACATCTAATTTTTTTGGTTTTGTTTTGTTTTGTTTTTGTTTTGCTACTAGTCACTGGAGAATGTAAGCTCCCCAGGGAGAAGTCTGTTTGCTTTGTTCATTGCCTATCCTCCATGGCTAGAACAGGATTGGGTACTAAGGAGTTGCACAGGAAACAGGTGATAGATGGATAAATGAGAAAGTGTTTTATTTGCTTCTCAGGGCTTTTTTAAAGGTCAAGTGAAATCCTACATGTTGCAGGTGCAGCCCAGTGCCTGTTCACAGACCAAGTGCTGAGTGTCACGGTCCTCATCCTGGACAGCTATATTCAAGTCTTTTACATGGCTTAGGCAAGTCCCAATTTCTCTAGGCAATATTCCTGATTACTTGGTTTTCCCTTTTTTTTTCTTGATTTTTGCCATACTCTAAGTCTGTGTTACATTTTACAAGGAATTCTGTTGCAATCTAAATTTGTTCCCATCTTATGTGCATTTTGCTTAAGAGTAATGAGTAGAATCCCATGTTTAGCAACATGCAAAGAAATTGTTAGTTGAATAATAGTTGTTGATTAATTAATATTATTTTATACAAATGCATGATTCAAAACATGAAAATTATATGCTTTGGTGTTAGTATGAATAGTTCATATTTATTGAGCACAACAATAGTATGTCATATTATCTTACATAATAATAAAAATAATAGTTATGTTTGTGATCTTTGCTACATTAGTTTCATTATACCTCACAATAACTCATTGAGATGTGGCTATTGTCCTCATTATTCAGATTAAAAAAAAAACAAGCCTTAGTTATATTAAATATCCTGTACATGTTTTAAAAGTTAGAATATGAAAGTGTCCAGAATTAAGATTGAAGACTATTTGACCCCAAAGCCCAGGAACTTCATCTCAAGCAATAATGATGTTTTGTTGCTATGGGAAGGGAAAAAATGAACACAAATAAATCATATCAATTTATTATCACTACTGGATGAAGAAAAAATATTCTTTATAGGAAAAGGTAGACTTATAAATGTGGAAGTCACAAATACAAAAGTCGAATCTTTCAAAGGAAATTAAATTATATACACACATTGGAAAATTTGAGAATATTTGGCCTGAATGTGGCTCATGCATTAATCTTTTCATTTACTGTAGCAGTGGAAATACAGCAGGAGATGAAAGCCAGTATCTCTTATTTGTGGAACATATATAGTCTTGGAACAGGCATATATCAATCAAAGTATTAGTCTAACTAATATATAATTTCTTACTGATGTAGGTGCTCTGATAAAAAAAGAAGCATGGTTTCACATGAGCACAAAGCAAAACAACAAACACACAAAACCAAAATAAGTTGTTCTAGTCAGAGATTCAGGAAAGACTTCTGTGAGTTAGAGATGCTGAAGGGATAGACCATGACTGAGTTAAAAATGGAATTCAAAGAAGGTGGAGCTGAGGAGTATTTCAAATAGAAGGAAGTGAAAAGGAGCAAAGGTGTTTAGAAAACCGAGAGAAGGAAGGTTGCAAAGTGATTAGCATTTACATTTTAGGATAAATGGGAAGCTAAGCCAAAAGATTGTTCTAACGGGATGATATAATTCAATTTGCATTTGGAATCATCATTTTCACATCATTATACAAAATAGAAGATGACCAAGACTGGATTTAGGGATAATTTAGAAAACTATGCAGGAATCTGGAAGAGGTGATGGTTGCTTAGTCTTTGGAGTTGTTGGTGATAGACATGGACTCAAACAGATAGAAATAATCAACATGTTTAGAAAGTAAAATTGAGCATATTCAATAAGTGGTTTAGTATAGGAAGTGTAAAAGATAAATTTAAATTTTAACCCTCCTATAACTGCGCTGGGCTGGGAGAAGATATGTGTGGGGATGTTGCCTTTCCTGAGAGAGTCTAGGGGTAGGTCAGAAGATGGGTGAAGTTTGAACTTAGTCTTGAATATTTGTTGAATTTGTCACACCTTTGCCAAAAAAAAAAAAAGTTGGAGTTACTTTGTTGATCACTTTCTAATTGAGAAAATGGACCCAAAGAATGAAGAATGTCAGTTTTCAGTATTGAACTCAGGATCAGCCAGATCTCTTCTTGTTTTTTTTCTTTTTCTTATTATTTTTATGAACAGTAAATCAAGACTTGTGAATGTTAGCAGATAAGACTTATTAAATATTTCAATATGACTGTAAAGAAGATTTGGTAATTTCCTTTCTTAAAATTTAAATAACAAGAGTAAAGAAGAATAATTATTATGCTAATAGATAACATTTAATAAGTGTCTAATACGTGTTATGTGCTTATGAATTTCATATATGAATTTTCAGCTGCTTCAGTGGTATTAACCTGTCATTTAATAAAAGCAGGTATAAACAGTAAATCTTTTCACTAAGTTTTTTAAACCTAAATAATATCAAAAACAATTATACTAATTTCAGAAGCCCAAATTAACTCTAGGTGAATTTCATCTCATGAGTTCCTTATGGCTTTGTACATAGTTATTTAATTTTACCAAATTTTTACTTAGAAGATTCATCTGCAGTTTTTTTCCATCTGCCCTGTTTTCCAATAATTTATAATACTATTAGAATGGGAAGAATGTCTGTCCCTCTATGTATGTATCATATGTATCATGAGATAGATATGAAATTGCTAATTTGTTTTGTTGTGATTGTTAGCTAAAATTCTTGATTATATCCTTTATATTCCAGAGCAGTGATCAGCAAATTTCAGCCGATAGACCAAATTTGACCTGCTGCCTATTTTTTTTTTAAAGAAAGTTTTTTGGAACACTAATAAGCCATTTATGAACTATCAGTGACTACTTTTGCATCAGAGTGGCAGAGTTTTAGTAGTTCCCACAGAATCTTTATCCAACATAATCAATGATTTTTATCACTTTCCCTCTCCAGATAAAATTTGCTAACTCTGTCTCCTGGGAAGTCAGTATCTATGAGTCTTTTGTGGGGTTATGAAGCTGGAAACATCATTTGACAGTAGATTTATGAAGTACCCATCTTCAAGCCTTTACCATCCATTACTTTAAAGATCTTGGTGGCATTGGTAAAGCTGAGGTATCAAATTATCAGAATTTGATATTAGATATCAAATTATCAGGTTTTTAACCTGTAATTTTTCTAGGAAATGGAAGGATAAGAGATAAAAATGAACACAAATAACTCTTACGAGTTTGCAAGGAAACATTTTTTCTGAAGGAAAATCTCATAGTATGTTATGATTTTTAAAGATTTGTAATTTGTATTTAAAAATTGAGAGTAACAAGTTGTAGTTGGCCTTTGAAAAAATTCAATAATAAATTCTGCTAAAGAAAAGACATTGTGATGGAGCATTTATGAAAATATGCAATGTTAATGTATTATTATAAAGTATTACTAAAAAATGAATATTGGCTTATACCTATAAGACCTGCATTTTGATTTATAGAGTTCCATAAATCCAGAAAAACAAAGCCCAGTACATTACTCACAAGTTATTATACATGAACAATAGCAAATAATTTTACTGTGTTGTTTAATTTACTACTTCTTAAGTATGATCTGCTTCCATCCAGAAATCCTGGAACATGTTAAAAAATGCCAACTCCTAGGCCTCATTCTTCACCTATATTCTACTTCAGAAATTTTAGGGGCAGGCTTAGGAATGTGCATTTTTAACAGTGCCAGAACTTTATTTTTAGGCATACAAAAATATGAGAACCTTTGGTTTAGTTCAAATCCTTTTATCTATGGGATCTAATCAATTGAAACCAAGGTCAATTTCCTTTATGTAAAGGGTCTTCTATTTCAGTAGTAGCCCTGGTATTCTATTGTTGAAATACCAAGTACATATGCAACAAAAATAATAGACAATAAATGAGGTTAATTAAAAGGATGTTACTAAATTAGATAGTGCCAATTGTAGAAGGTTTATTATGAATGCAATAATCTTGAAGCAATGGAAAATAATTAGCATTTAAATTAAGTTGTAGGTTAGCCACATTAGGGAAAGGTTAGCTTGCTATGAATTTTTATAAGGTTATGGTGTTATTTTTGGATTGATTTGAGAATTAAGTATACTTTAATGAAAAATTTGGAATAATAAATTTTCATTATTAATTGAGCTACATATTAAATGGTGAATTTCTCAAACCTATCTCGATCAAAGTAGTTGTTAAAATATATATGAGATAAATATGGGTGTAAAGTTTTATGCATGTAATATTTAAGTTATTTTAATTCTTTATTACTATATTTGGATCTGTTAAACTGTTCAAAAGGGCAGCAGTCATATGATATATAGTTTTACTATCTATAGTAACTATAACTGTTTGAAACTTTAGGTCGTGTGTGTGGTAAACAATTTCAAAGGAAGACAACCAGAAAATGAGCATATACACATGGATAATTTGGCCCAGATGCCAATGATCAGCATTCCTCGAGTAGAAAGTCCTTTGGAAAAGGTACCATCTGTACAGGTAATTCACAATTTAAATTCTAAAATGTAATTGTTATCTACAGCAAATTAATAATTATTCCTGTGTATGTATCTGGAGAGTGCCTGCACAGTTATTGTTAATTTATTTAACCTCAAAGTCTAATGGTTTAGCAAGAATTTAGCCATTGAAAAGATCATCTTAAAAAATGCATATTGTATTTAAAGTGTCTCTGTATCCCTCATGCTAAAAGCTGAGTACCTATAGATGGAATCTGTTAAGTATTCTGCTACAGTTTCTATATAAGGAATACTGTGCACTGGTCTCACACATAGACAAAGTAGTAAGATGCTTTTACTTGGGAATATATGCATTTTTCATCAAATAGATTCCATTTCTTTCATATTCCATGTCTATGAGAAAGTGCTGTGTTCAATTCCTGGCACATAATCAGGTCTTAATAAATATGTGTTGAATCTCATTCTCAAAGTTCTGGCAGCAGGAAAACACTAGTTGTGCTTTCCTGAAAGGAGGCAGTGAAGGCAGGCTGGGCTGAATACAACCAGACTACGAAGAACATTGAATAGCAGATCAAGACCTCAGCAGGCCTGGCAGCAAGCACAAAAATCAAGTTCTTAAAGACAAGCTGCTCTTGAGATTCTTGTGAACCCGATAGGGTGATATTTCCTAAATGTTGATGCAGTTGTGTGCATTTGTAACAAGTTGATTGCTCGGAGAGTTACTAGTGTCTTCTCAATCAGCCTGATCCACTTTCACATTTTGGTCAGTATCTTAGAAAAATTTACTCACATGCTAATCAGGAGTGGAGGTGGAGAGAATCTGTGAGTGATAATTGGGTGAAAGAATAAAATGTCTTAAGAAACTATAAGAAGAGACAATAAACTAGGTAGAAATAAAATGTTTTGTATTTGAATTTGAAAATTGTGTAGGGTAGGGAGCATTTAGGTTAAGTGCACAAATGAAAAAAGCTCAGAGGGACCACAAGTTGGCATGTGCCAACAGCATGATACCCCTGTCAAAATAATTCATAGGATCTTTAAGTCTCACTTAAGGAAAATGCAACCCTGACTGAGCAGACTTATGATTTGCTGTGCTCATCCTGGTCAGGATAACATGGAATACCGTGCAATGAATGCTCTTGGCAACACAGTTCAATGGTGGAGACCAACAAAATAGAATATTCACTATTCCAAAAATAAACATTAAATGAGTTAGTGAATGTGTCCAGGATGCTGAGTGGACTCAATGTCATGGACAATGAGAGACTATTGGAGCAAAGATGATTAGAGACAAAGAAAACTCATGAAAGAAGCAGTAGTTTCTCATGAGTGTCTGAAAGATGGTAGATGAATGAGATTGGTTCTGTAGGACCTCAGAGATCACAAGTAGGGGGAACAAAAGGAATGGGGGTAGGAAAATAAACGATGACCAGAGAGAGGAAATCCGTTCTGAAAATGGAATGACTGCATTAGGAGAGGTTATTTCTTTTTACTATAAAGATTCCAGAATAGCTAAATAATCACTTACCTACAATACTTTGGAGGGAATTAAGTATTTAGATGTTAGAGATCCTAAATAATAATATTAATATCAGCTACCATTTAATAATCCTTAGTATGCATCAAGTTTTGTATTAATGGTTTTTATAAATTCTATAAAACGCTTCTATGCTTTACAACTATATTTAGTCCCCACAACAGTTTTTAAACTGGATCTTTTTATAGTGGCAGAGACTGCCAGGAGTCTACTGATATTCATTATCCCCTTCTTCCTTTCTCTCAATTTTTGCTACATCCATGGCTGCCCAGTTTTAGTCTGTACTTTTTAGCTTCTCTTGCAGTTAGTTGAACATGACCAAGTTTAGAGCTATGAAATATGAGTAGAGGAATAAGCGCAACCTCTAGCATATCTCTTCAAAGACTCTTGCTCTGGGCATTCTCTACCCCTTATCATCAAATGGAAAATATAGATTGGAGCAATCTGGGAAGCAGGTTTGTAAAATGACTGATCAACCTTGGCAATCTGTGTCCCTGGATGCCCCCTTGGAGCAGAGCCCACATATCCATTCCACTCTAGATGGTTCCAAAAAGAAAATGAACAGCTTCTTCTCTGAGTCATTGGATTGTTTTAATTTCTGTTCTCTAGGGGTTTAGCTGATGTTTTATTATAATAAATTTCCCATGTTTATCCACAAAAGTCCACATCATTGATAAGCCACAGAGAAACATTATACAGTATAAGTTTTGAGATACATACTTATATAAATAAGTACACATTTTAAAAACTGAATTATATATACAAAATTAGATTTTGTTTAACTTAATAAATAAGCATAGGAAACAATGCAATTGAGAAAAAGATCTTAAACATATTTTAAAGAAAATGGTCAGGGTAACAATTAGAATCTTTTCACTTTGTATACCTCAAAAATCATCATAGGTAATCATCACAGACTTCTGCTGTTGAACATATTTGTTTGCATGGGAGTTCTTTAGTAGTTCCCTAGCATTGCAAATATTCTTATGTACTACTATGTCATTCTCTATATTAAAGGATTGAAAATTCCTATTGATTTTATGTTGATTCATTGTTATTTACAGTGCCTTTAAAAATATAAAATGATAAAAGCAAAAATATTATATTAGACTCTGTGAATTGCCAGAGAGAATGTTTATTAACTTCTTTCTTTCATTACTATATTTGTTTGTTGTCCATATCAAATCCGTGTACTTTTCTTTAGTTTGTGGTTGGGGAATAAAGATGTTTTGAAGCTGATTCAGTTCTCCCCTCATTCACTGAGTGTCTATACACGATGCTGGCTCTGCTCTTTTTTTTTTTCCTGTTCCCAGGCAGAATATTTCCTGCATAGGACCTGGTTTATTCTTTTACTACATAGACATGTAAACAGAGGAAGATGGGATGTTCTAGGAAAATATCTCAGACTCTCCTTTGAAACTGCTAAAAGGACGTGCATTTATGCTTATCAGCCAGAATGAAAGCAAGACCCTCACTGTGGCTGCCCTTTCTTTTTGTGACGAGGAATAAATGAAGTAAACATATTGCTTTTTACTTTTGTTCACATTGGCAAAAAAATGCAAAATTCTTCCAGTAATTGATTTTAATAATTGATATTTATGTAGTGAAAAATATCACTATATAAATATCATTTGTAAATTCGTTACTATACAAACATACAAATAATTGATATTTGTGTAGTGTATATATTAGTTTCTTAAAGCTGGCCCTCTGAGGAGATAGGGACCCTGTGTTAAAGTTTGGCCTGCAGACATGTCCGGTAGGCTTAGCATTATTACACCAAGCTGTCATTTTCTTGTTGTCACTTTCATGTGGAAAAAGCACAGGGTTTCTTCCAGAAGTTATGTACTTATATAACCTCTTATGTTCAGAGTGCATGTTTGATAAACTATAAGCTACAGAGTAATTATAGCATGCAAGCGTGCTTTATTTTTATGCCAGCAATTTATCCCTTAATTATAGGGAGTTTGTCATATGGTTAATTACCATAGTTTATGAGAAAAACTCATGATTTTTCTGAATACTAAGTAAATCTGAACATTCATTACATTTGGTTTTATGAAAAGAATTAGTCATCTGTGGAAACTGGCCCATCATATTCCAATGTCCACTAAATATTCAACTTACTAATAACTCATTACAGATCTTACTCATATCAGATCATGAGAAGTCTAATTGTACATCAGCAGTGAATTGTTAAATCAATGGTGCCACATTCCTACAATGGGATCCAGTATGTTATAGTATGGTACTTCTGCTTATAAATCCTAGAGGTAGACTGCTTGGGATTTGGGGCAATTTTGAACTCAGGCAAATCTCGTAAATACCCAGGGACTCAGTTTTCTCTTTCATAGATTGGTCATTATAGTAAAATACTTAGAACAGCATCTGGAACACATGTGTTGAGGTGCTAGGGATGTACTAAGAATATATCATCAAAATGATGATATAAAACTACTTTGTCCAGCTCCTCTACTCAGAATCTTTGTGGAGGATTTCCTAAAAGATCATCAATGAGTCCTTTCTCCCTTGTTTTAGGAAAATAAACTAAGCTAAATTTGTCCTGCTTCAAGCATAAACAATCAAGACAAGAACTTAAATCCCTTAAAATGTTTTTGTGACACAGAAGAAAAGATAAAACACATCTTTAAAAAAATGTTTAATGATATGAAATTTAATTACATTTATTGTAGATAGCATCTTCTTTCCAGCCAAGGAAATTAAAGAAAACATGAAATGAGAGGGAAAAGATAACTGTACAAGTAGAAATTAATGTAAGAAAAAAAAATAATGCCCTGAAAGAATTTAAACCAATACTAGAAACCTTGAGAAAGAAAATCCACACTGGAGAAACTCAAAGCATGTACATTAAAAACAAGTTTTTCAATAGAAGAACAGGAGAATAAAAGTGATCTCAGAAAAGATAATAGATTCAGAAGAGATAGTAGATATAGAACATACCACAGAAAAATAACATGGGTCATTGTATGTACTAAAGAAGAGAATAAATGGAGCAGCAACAGTATTCAGATACAAGGTAAAGTTGAAATTCATATCAGAAATTAGATATTTCTCACTGAAGTTCTTAGCTACCCAAACTGAAGAATCCCCTAAATACTGAGGGATAGCATTGTTCTCAATTATTAAGTACTTCCTTCTTTGGGAGAACATCCTTCCTTCTCTGGTTACTTTGGACCAATGACATGTGCATAGAACTTATAGGACGCTTATCAGCCAGAGACTCAGAGGGTCATCAGAGGCATTGATCCCATGCCTTCCTCCAGGAGAAGCTCCTTTCTAGATCAGGACTGCTCCCTCAGCCTCAACCCCAGAATGGGAAGATAGCAGAAGCCGACCAGCATCTAACCTGCAACCTCAACAAATAATAGAACCTGGCTGCCAAACTGTGGTACCAGAAATAAATATTTGTTGGGAGCTTTCTGAGTTTTTGAAGTTGTCATAATGTATACTTAGAGAAATATGAAAACACTAAATTAGAGAAAGTTAGTTACTTCCCAAGAATAAGAGCAGGCTGGGTCAGACTTCTCCCTCCACATTAGACTTATAATCAATGGAGCAATGTCTTCAAGGTTTTCAAGGAATAAGTTTGTGATATAAGAGTTCTTTTCCCACTCAAAAGGTCATGTAAGTGTTAACATAACCATAAAATATCAGCTTTATCAGAATTTACAAATCATGCTTCTCATAAAAAGGTACCAGAAAATGTTTGCCAACTGAGTAATACAGCACTGTCCAGAGCTTTTAATTTAGGGAAGTCATTAGAAGAATGGGTTGGGAGAAAGAGTGAAAGCTATTTACATGGAGAATTAAATGGAATTAACTATGGCAAAACATAGGAATAGAAATGTTGCAAAATCATAAAATTTATTTAAAGACAAGATTTATAGCAAAAGAAATAATGAAAAATGAAACAGAAACCCTAGATAGTACCATAAAAGTATAAAATCTGAGCATTTCCAGGTTTTATAAGGAGGGACTATTCTTTAGTGCTTTCATTCTTGGCTTTGCTAACCAGAAAACAAGTTCAAGTGTTTTGAAAAACAGAAGTTACCAAGAGTAGTTTAAAAACAATTTTTAAAAGCCTGATGAAAAAGTATAAAATATAAATAATGTGTAGATCAAAAGTTCGATGTCTTTAGTATATAAAACATGCTACTTGAAAAAAATGGGTCAAGTTCACGAATAGGCAGATTATTGGGGGTCAAATACATGGAAGAGCATTCTGTCATTGTGGATGAAAATTCCTGAAGGGTTTCTTATGTGACTTCAAACAGTTGGGTCTTAATGAATCTCCATTGTTCCTTAATGAACAATGGAGATTCATTAAGGAGCTGGAGGAAGTAAACGTGTTCAGAATGGAGAATAAACTGAAGGACAGTAAACTGAAGAAGAGTAACAGTGAATAAAAATTTAAAAAAAACAAACAAACAAAGGATATTGTGAAAGTCCAGTTCAATGCTACAAACAATGTGGACTAGATCTCAATGAAGCCATGCTATGTCATTTTGACTGTCCAGGTATCATTTGGCAGAGTCCATTTTAAGTCAGGTGCTGATTCCAATCAGAGGAGTTTTCTAATTGTCTTAATAGCTTACAGTAGAAAAGGACTGTGAACCAGGGCATCTCTAAGAACCTTCCCCACCTGAAAAAGCTTGCTTATTTCTCCTCTGTGGTATTTTTCTGTTTTCTCTTCAGAGATTTCTCTTCTTCACAACTCTAATGGGTAAGGTGTACATTGGTATTCCTTCTCAGTGAGCCTCTTGGGTCACGTTGCATTCATTCCAGTGGCAAAGCAGTGAGCTCTTTGTTGTCAACCATTGAAACTTTACCACTCTCTTGCCCCTACTTGCTGTCATTCTGAAGCCTGATGCTGATGCTCAGGTTGGCACAGGTAAACACATGGAAAATGATGTATGCATGATGGATCTTAACTGATTCCCCATGGAAAATAAAAGGAAAGAGGCATTTTATCTGACAAGGGAAGAGAAATATTTAAAGTTTAATAGATAAGATTTGAAAGAAAATGGAATATTTCCAATAGAACTAAGAGAAATTAATATTCACATTATTTTATTAAGGCAGTTATCACAGGCCATTACAGGCACACAGAGCTGATATGGAATAATTTTTGAAAGGTAAAGTGAATAGACTCAAGAATAAAAAGTGCTTTTGGGGAAAATATATTTTTCATCTAAACCCAAGCATTGTGTTCTCTTTGATTGATGTGATATTAATCAGTTGAATCAAAGAGGATTTCCTCTTGCCAACAAGAAACAGAAGGTAATGTCAGAAATAGTTTACAATAGAAGAGTTTGCGTATACCTAGGGTAAGGGGCTTTTCACTAGCCAATGAAGCTCATGATGTGAAAGCATACCCTGCTTAACTGAAGCATTAACTAAATGAAAGTGATAGGCAGTAATGACAATTCCAAAAATCTAGAAATGTCATAATGAGTATGTACTATTACAGATGGAAATTACCATAAATTACAATTTAATTCCCATGGCAACGACAAAGTCAAATTATACGGATAGCAAAATTCTAAGAGAACTCACAATGACCCAGGCAACCATATGCATTGACCTTTACATGTTCTTCTTTGCAGATTATTGGATTTCAGGAATCTAAGGGAAGCAAGAGTTGAAATTTAGTCAGGGAAGGAGGTAGAAGGAGAGCTAGGTTTTAGCAGCTGGAAATCCTTGGTTTGAAACCCAGTTCTTCTATGTAATAAGTAGGTGGAGTTAGACACCTTCCTTCATGCAAAAATTAGGAATTCTCTTTTACTTCAGACAAGGATACCTCTATGAACGTATTTCATAGATTTAAAAGTTTATGCAATGTCTACTTCATGCATGAGCACATGTGGCCAAAAATATTATGGTATTAAATACTGCATACTTTAGGGCCCTAGCAACAGCAAAACAATATTGTGATTTCTTGTCAAGACAAATATGACTATACGTTACCATGTACCCTGTGATAAATTTCTTTGAGGCTTCAGAATGCTCTGCATGAATAACTCTGGCAATCTATTTAAGATTCAGTTGCTTTCCTATGATGCAAATCTTTGTTTTACAGGGCTGCTGGACTATAATATAAATGTTATACAGGACCATGTCAAAACAACTTTATTAGTAATTAGTTATTGGAATATTTAGTGGAACTAAACATAGTCATATTTTAGGCATTTTCCCTTAATCTAAGCTCTGAGCATTTATGCCAAATATTTGAAGTAAATCAACATTTATGTGCCATACTCTGTTCTCACTTGTTAAATTTAATTTTGCTTTAAAACAGTGCATTGAAAATGGAAGCTTAAAGATTTCAACAAGCATTTAACATTTTTTAGGTTAAAAAGAGTAGCACATTTACTTACTCTGTTGCCATATGTCATTTTTCCAGTTTGTGCATCCATATATTTAGTATTTAGTTTTTCACACTATTTATGAATCAGAATGTACTACACGAAGAATAAAAGCCAGATTTTTTCCA